CCTTTCTCTGTCTCTCTCTCCCTCTCTCTGAAAAGCACATGTGCCCTCTGGCAATTAAAGAAGAAGAAAAGTAAAGAAAGAAAGACTGGATTTTACTTTGTGGTTAAATCACACAGATTTGCTGATCATTCCTAATTGCACTTTCTTCAGATAAGAACTGAAAGATGCTGTTTGATGTAACAGTTGCTGGATATGCCTGCAATATTTAATATGGCACCAGAATGACAGCTCCACAAGACATATTGTTAGTAGGCAATTTAATTTAATTTAAGATTTTTCAGAACACTTATAGCCTCACGCTAACAGCTAAATCTGCTTTGTGTTCAGGTTCGCAATAACACAAAGTCTAGCCTATACCACAGATGCATCGCCTGGGAACATGCTGGAAATACAGAATATCAATCAGGCTCCAGCCTAGACCAAGACATCAAAATATGCATTGAGGGGCCAATAGGTAGAATAGCGGTTAAGATGCTGAATTCCCACATGATGACCACGGTTTGAGTCCTGGACCTGGTGGCTAATCATGCCAGGCTCATGAGTGTATGTGCCCAGCATCTCAGGAGAACAGAGAAGGGATTGTGACATAGCCATCATGGGACAACTTTCCCTCTGTCTTTTTCCGGCAAGCTTGTGCACCCTATGGCAAAAACCTTAAATAAAAAAAATAATAATGACTGGGGGTGGCAGTGGGGGCCAGCAGTTAGCGTAATGGCTATGTCGCTGGACTCCCATGTAGTTGACCGTGGTTCATGTCCCGGACCTGGTGGCTTAAAACTCATGCCGAGTGCGAGTGCGTGCATGCCCAAGATCCCGAGAGCAGAATGGAGGAAAAGGGATTGTGGCATGGCCATTCCCCCTGGGGGGTGATTTCTCGCTTTCTGTCTCTCTGTCTCTCTCTGTCTGTCTGGCAAGCACACACACCCTATAGCAAAAACCTCTCCAAAAAAAATTTTTTTTTTATAAAGGAATGCATTGATTAAAAGGAGATTTATAAGTATTTGTAAGCATGTTAAAGTTTTGGAGTACCAGCCTGGCTCACAATTCCTAGGTCAGTTTGGATTGTGAAATTATATTTATATGATCCATCAGCCCTAGTTTTTAAACTTTATTTATTTATTATTTATTTACTTATTTCTTCCATGAACAAAAACGATAGAGACAGGTAGACAGAGAAACAAGATCCCCGTGCTGTGACCCACCCCCAGCCTCAGCCAGCCCTGGGTCATGGGCATGTGCATACCTGGTGTACTCAGGGAGGTCTCTGGATATGAATCCGGAACCATCTATATGGGTTTGCCTTACAGAGTATCATAAATTAACCACTGCACGTCTGCTCAGCTTCCCAAAGCCCTATTTATAAAACTTCCCTTCTTCAGGTCATCCACAAACTTTGGAAGCCAGGCAAAAGTCACAGTCTATTGTCCCTTTCATAAACACTTTCATTGTCAAGAGAGGATAGTGAATAGTGGTGAAAACATATATTGGGTTAGTGTGGCACAAAGGAATTTGGGATTCTTTCTGAAAAGTGAAAACCTATGTATTATCACACTACTCTTTAGGCAATGACTGAACCTGGGCCTTATGAACATCTGCGAGCCTTGGTGAGCACTGGCAAGGCCCTGTCCATGCCATGAGGTGCTACCAGAAGGGCTCGACAACAGAGAAAGAGGTGATGATCCCTTGCCCTGATGCTTATGCTTATGTCTCTGGAGTCCTGGGATTTAGTTAAGGCTGCTCAAACAGAGCCAGATCATGAATGGATTCTAACCTTATGTGAAAGTTCTGTAAGCCTTTATTTCTCAAAATGATGACAAAAAGTATCAAGTTAGTGTTTGTTTTCTGACACCTTATTTTTAATACCTACAACTGTAGAAGGCACTTTTCTTCTTACCTAAGTGTTCATATTTTCACATGAACAGAGGAAATACAAGAAAAAAGTCTTGAGCTGACCCTATGGCCTTGTGGTTATGGAAGCTGGATCCTGCATGGCTGACCACGTGGTTCAAATCACATTCCTGACAGCTTGCAACAAAACACACAAGGACGTGTGTGTGTGTGTGCAGGTGCACGCACGCTCAAAATCCAGACAGGATAGAGACACTGAGAAGGGATTGCAGCAGGACGACCCCGGTTGGGGAGTGCTTTCTCCTTCTCCCCATCTCTCTCTAGCAAGCGCACACACTCTCTGATAAGATTTTTTTTTAAAAAGTCCCACATAAATTGACATTCAGATTAACAGTGACATTTGCCATCTGTTAGGTCCTTGCTTATTCAACAAGAAATATAGCTGGCTTCAAAACACCTTTGCACCATCATGGGAAGAATGTTTAAAAAAGAACACAATAACAACAATGACAAAATGTAAATTGGAAGAGTTTTTTAATTAGAACACCAAGTTTTACAGTCCTTCCATTATCTGTTCTGTGAAGAGCCAGAAAAAATACTGTCACCAAATACCAAGTTAAGAGAATAAGTCTTTGTTTATTTCAAGATGAATGTGTGCCAAAATAATAAATGTGTTATTGTCTTCCTTAGGTTTGGGGTTTTATTTTGTTTTTAGTGAAAGTACTATATAAAGTCTAGACAATGGAATAAATGAGAAGACCATGCACAAGAATACCATGACGGGGGGAGGGGTTAGTCTCACTGAGATACAAATGATTTCAACATCCCCAGACCCTTTTGTAGCCAGTGATGCTGGTCCAAGTAATTTTGATCCCTGATATTAACTCTGAAAGCATCTAAAGAAAAAAAAAATACAATTTATGCTCAATGCTTCTACGAAGTTCTATTAGCCAAAATATTTTTTTCTAAAAGATGAAAAAGCTCTTATCATAAGGCTCATCATCAAGTAGTCACCTCATAACTATTTGGTTCCTTTCTTTCTGATTTCTTTTTCTTTTTCTTTCTTTTTTTTTTTTTTTTTTTTTTTTGGAGAGGTTTTTGCTATAGGGTGCAAACGCTCTCCAGAAAGACAGAGAGAGACAGAGAGATAGTAATTGAGAAATCACCCCCAGGGGGGGATGGCCATACCACAATCCCTTCTCCTCCATTCTCCTCTCGGGATCTTGGGCACGCACGCACATGTGCCTGATGTGAATTTAAGCCACCGGGTCCAGGACTCAAACCGCAGTCAACTACATGGGAGTCCAGCAACATAGCCATTATGCTAACTGCTGGTCCCCTTTTCTTTCTTATTTCTATCTAAATCAGGCAAAAGTGTTTTCCCCAAAAAAGATGCAGTAGTGTTCAAAAATACTATTTCAGAGTCATAATAGGAAAAACTTCCCAGAAGAGGAAATTATCTAGCAACTTTGGCGCCAAGAGTGACTAGGTAGACTTTAGCTCCCCAATCACCTCCACTGAACCACTGAACCCTATCAAAATCAATGTGTCTCAAAGTAAAGGTTGTGTTCTTAGTATGAAACTCTAGCTTCCAGATTTGTCTCCTTTCTGCTAGATTAAAACTGTGAAGGTATTCTTATGTAAATACTTAGAGCTGTCACTATTCAAAATTATTACATAGTGCAAGTGCCATTTTTCTACAAGATTAACTTTTTTTATTGTTGTTATTGTGCTCTATTTACAAATGAGGTAATATTTAAGACCTGCAATGCTATTTCTAAGGAGACAAGAAATTCAGATTACCTGTGAGGCCTCTGAGAAATGCTAAAATCTGCCCAACATGTGCCCTCCACAAACTTCTGTACTCGCCAAACCACTCTCCAAACTTCCTCCTCCCTCCACTTCACAGCTCCAACTAAGGATAACTTATCATCACAGAATGATCAACGGTCCCACTTTGTCCACAACTGTCCCGTTTTCAGAACTGGAAATCTTATATTCCAGGACAACCTTCAGCTCTGGGCAAACAGAAATACCCCGCAAGACCCCTCAATATGCTATGCCACCTCTCAGCTCAGTCATTGCTGATGCAATTCACTTTCCTTTTCTTTATTTCCCCCCCTGGAGTGTGTCTGTACTTGCCAAAGAGAATGAGAGAGGAAAAGGGAAAAGTAAGAAAGATGCCCTAGGGGGCCTGGTCACACAGCAATCCATTCTCCTCCATTTTTCTTTTGGGATTTCAAAATGCATCTACCACACACATCTGGCGTGATTTTCAAGCTACCAGTTCTGGGACTTGAACCACGGTCAGTCATGTGAGAGTCCAGTGCCTTAACCACTGCATCACCTGCTGGTCTCTGAGGTGATTTTTAGCAATCTAATAGAAGATAAAACATATACCAACTTTATTATGGCAAGATTATTCATTATTAAGTAATAAAATATGGATATTTGGTCTTTGAATCCTTAGTGAATCACCAGAACTCAACATGCACATACTTTTAAATGTTTTTTTTTTTTTTGAGAGGTTTTTGCTATAGGGCGTGTTTGTTCGCCAGACAGACAGAGAGAGACAGAGAGACAGAAAGCGAACCGCTCTGTTGGTCATGCGGAATCCAGCTGCCTTAACCTCCATGCCACCTGCTGACCCCCAGTTTGTTTTTCCAGGAATGTCATTCATTCTCTCTTCCCACCAGCTCAAAGCCTCTCAATCTGCCAAACCCCTGCCTAAATGCCCCTTCCTAAGCAAAGCCTTTTGGGCAACACCCACCTTCCCCAACTCGCCAACAATACTGATCATGCTCCTCCACGTCACAACATGGCCTGTTTTTTTGTAAATGTCGTGTGGTAGCAGGATGATTTGATTATGAGGTTTAGACCCTCTTACACAATAAATTCCTCGAGAGCAGATGCTGTTATTGTTCCTTCACTGTCAACACCACACCAAGCCTGTGTTGTTGTGTTTCATGAGTAAATACACAAATGAGTGATTAAATAGTTTTGCTATTAGACTTTAGTGATGGATCGGACTTTCACAAAAAAGTCCACATCCAAATTGAGATGAGAGGTTCATTTACGTATATGCCGATGTTGGCCACCTTATAAGAAATATGCTCATTAATACATTTCGGTTTCTCAGACTATTTATCTACCTCGATCTGGGTGTTGTTGTCCTGCCCATCATCCAGCAGCAGGTCTGTGAAGCCTCGGGGATCCCCAGAGTCCTGGCCCATGCTGGCTCGGTTAGTGTCTACGGCCTTGAGAGAGTCCAAGTTCCTTCTCCACCTGTGGCTGTACATGTGCGAGTCCACTTCCACCTCCTCTTCTGTGTGAGGGAAGGCCTGGGCAACTTCATACTGCCAATCTGTTTGAAAAGAAGCAGATTGGGTCACTTGTTATGAATCCTATGTGAGGGTATTTTCTAAAGCAAAGGAATAATTGCTACTCATGAGAATAGGAAAGGAACTTCTCACAGCAAAATCTGTTTACATGTAATATTTGGAGCTGGCAGGAACCTCTCTGAGCGGAAGGCAGATATACCTAAAGTTGTGACAACGGTTAATGTCAGATTTCACAGAGTTCCTAAAACAGATGTGCAGCCCTGAAGCAATGCAGTTTTATTCCCTTCCCTCACCCGCTCCACACAGACACACACACACTTCATAAATAGCCTGGCTCTTCTGAGAAAGCAAGCTAGAATCCACACAAAGGAATGAAACCAAGTGATTTTTGACTTTTCAAAAAACACAAGTCAGACATGATTCATTTGCAAGTTTATTTCACGTGAATTATACTGGACAGCAAAGAGACTTCCATGTGTAGAAATGGGTTAAATAGCACATGGAATTTTCTTTGAGTAAATTGTGAGCCTATGTTGTGGCTTACTGGGCAGACTTGGTACACTGCCTAACTCATTTAATAAGCCACCCCCTCAGGAACCATCCCCGACGTGCTTGCTCATTTGTATGGTTCTCACCTTGGAATCTTGTCAGGGTGAGAGAAGATGGCAGTGACAGGCACTCACAGGAATGAATGGGGAGACAGGGAGATCAAATCATAAAGGTATTTTAAAGCCATCTGCAGGGACTGGCCTTGCTGACCCTGCTCATCCGGCTGCTACAGGAGGGAAAATTAGATTTAATCATTACTCCTAGTCTTTCATTTCAGCAGGTCAGCAGGGAAGGTGCACCGCCAGGATTGGAAATTCAGTTTCTGCTCAAGAAGAACAGCCTTCTTCTACCCACCCATTACCAAGAAATATGAATTGACAGCTTTTATAACTGGCGGGATATAGGTTAAAAAGGGCTAGGAGAGCAGGGCGTAATTATAGCTGTGGTATTCCCCTCAAGTCAGGAACATTCCAAGAAACAAAGTGTGTTTAATGCAGCTCATACCGCCACGGAATCAGCTACTTGGATAACTAACTTACAGCAACCATTTCCGGCGATCGACATGACGGTCTAACATGGCTCCTTTTCAACTCAGAAAGATGCTAATGATGCTTTTAGACAGAGATGATGTTCTTTGGTTTCACAGTGAACTTGAAACATCTCTTACTGCCTGATGCCAGAGAGAAATACTACCACAGCATCTGCAACCTGGAAATTTCTATGGACTTACAGAATATTAGAGCTTTAAAGGATCACAGAGACCAAAATAGCTAAAACTCCACAGGGAAAAAACCCATGAACCAGAAAAATGTGTCACTGGGCCCAAGTCATTGAATTGTTGAAGGCAAAAGAACTCCCAAACATAATGGGTTGAGTGTGGTCCTCTTCCACCCTCACATTATACGTGTTTAATAAACATGTCTAATCAGCACTGTCATGATCGCTGTAAGAAACGTTTCTTCTTTAACATGGTTGTCCCTACTGGTCACTGTAGAGTCCTCAGTAAAATGCTTACTGACTGACTGAGTGAAGGAATGACAATCTATTTGGAGTAAGAATCGTTAAGATCTGGCAGAATTAAGTAATAGAAAAACTACTATTCAAGGATTCAGGAACACTGAGCTGGAATTCTTTCTGTTCTGTTCTCTGGTTATAGGATCCAGTGTAATTTATAAAACTCTCTGTCCTTTAGTTACCCCATATTTTAAATGGGAATAAAAGGATCTGACTTGTAAAAGCAGACAGCTTTTCCTGAGGATGTGTCAGGTTCTAAGACCTATGACTCTCAGCAAAGCTACATAAAGCAATTTTATTTGCTTTATTTATATATTCTGCCTCATTACCAAAAATATATGAGGCAGTTTACAACAAAGGTAAGCAATAAAATTTTATAACAACCAGATAAGACCTCCAAGCAGACCATTTAGGTCAGCTTCAAAGATGTGCATTTGGTTTAGACTTGGGGTGACAGGTCTGAGCAAGTTATACCACCGACACGGCCGTGTGGATACAAACAGCCATGTAGGCATGACTACAGATCTGTACAAGATCCACGTAGACTGTTGGTCCAGATTTAAAAAATGGTAACAAACACGATGCAGTAAATGGATTAAATGGTCCCAGATAGAAAAATGGTATAAAAACCAAAACAAAACAAAAACCTATAAACAAAGAGAATAGTTTCAAACAGTGGCATGTCAGTCCTCCAAAATATAAATCAAGAAAAAATATACTGGGCAAGCCAGTGGCACGGTGGTTCGGGTGCCTGGATCCCACACAGTCAACTGCCTAGTTTGAGTCCTGGACACAACAGCTTGAAAAATATATCAGGAGTGTATGTTTGTGTATGACCAAAACTCCATAAGGGGGGAGAAATGGAGGAAAAGGAATTTTGGCCTCTTGAATACTTTCTCACTTTTCTTGTCCCTTTCTCTTTCTCTCTGGCAAGCACTCATGACCTTTAGCAAATTTTTAAGAAAGAGAAAAACAACCCTAAAACTTCAGAGAACTGGTCTTGTTTAAAATCTACACAGAATTCAAAGCAACTTTCTTTTTTAAATCGGTGTTTTTTCTTTTTCTTTATATTAATTGTACCTTTTTTAAAGATATTCATGACATAGGACAAAACAATACTTCTCACAATGCCCACGAGGCCCTGTACCTCACAGGAGCCCCTGTGGCCCTGGTACAGACTAGGGAGGAATCAAAATAACTAACATTGGAGAAGCCTTCCATGTCAGATTTTATTTCTCAACTCTCTCCACTCCTCATTCTCATTTTATTCTCTGCCTCCTTGCTCTAGAGAACAAATGAAAAGGAACTTCTAAACTGAGGAATGATAAAGTGCCTATTTCCCACTTAAATTGAACTCTGAGAAGTCTGATTCACGTGTGAAACGCTTGTTTTTGCAGTGAATGTTCAAACTCATCCTTGAGCAGAATTATGAGGGGACAGTCAGCTGAGCAGACAGGGAGGCCTCTTGTAATCTACCAAGGCCTGTGCCTCCTCTAGCACTCACCAGAGTAAGTCTCCGGACAGCTGTGGGTTGGGTTTCCTCCATGGCTTCGTCCTGTGCTAATAGGATTTTTCCTCTCTAGCTACTACAGCCATCCCTTGGCTTGATCCTGTCATCCACACTGGCTTCTAGAATCTGCTTCCGCACACTTGGAAAACTGATCACTTGCTCCTTCTAATAGGGTTTACAAAGAAGAAACAACTTCTCAGGATGGGCCTGAGGGGCTTTCTCAAGAAAAAATGTGTGATCTTTAGCACCAGGTCCTGCAAATATTTTTTTGGTTGCTCTATTAAGCCTAATTCTTTTTTTTTTCCTGGTTATGTTATGAATAAGCAAAACTACCCAGTTGTGCATAAAGGAAATGTTACTATATGTTCATGACACAGTAAGACATGGTTCATCAAAACCGAAGTATACAATTGGCTTTGATTTTGATCCTATTTCCAAATGATTTTTAGAGAAGATAAAACAAGTCGAAATGGCTGTTTTACAGAAATAAAGACAGGAAAACTGGAAAAATCACTGCCTGGCTATCTACATTATAAATTACCCCTCTGCATTTCATGGGCTTTTGAACTCATAAAAATATTTTAAATTATTCTTTAAATGACCAACAAAACTAATCATTTGGAAGCAATGTGAAAGGATATATGTAATATAATATTTCCCTTCCCAGCTGTAGAGAAAACAAAAGCAACAGGAGGGATCTTTGAATAGTCTGGTTGAACAGATTGCTTGCTTTCTATCCACTGTATATTAATTAAACCACCAATGGAAAACGTTCAAAGCTGATTTTCTCCAACATATTTGGCTGTAGCTGTGAATCAGAAAGCTCAGGGAAATAATACATATATATATATGTATATGTATGTGTATATATATATATATATA